AGTCTATTCTCTGAGCCACAGGAAGCCAGTGCAGGGACCTGAGAACTGGACTAATCTTCCCTGGTTCTAGTCAGGATTCGAGCTGCTGTGTTTTGAATATACTGGAGCTCTTTTATTTGTCTTTATAGAAAACAGTCACCTTTCCAGACAAAGAACAAAAATGTGTAGTTTCACATACTGGTGTGACCATTTTCCAATTGGGGTCTTTTCATTTAGCACTGTACCATCTACGTATACTTCTGCATGTTGTTCACTTTTGTGTTTACAAAAGCCCAAGTTTCATACTATCTTTCACAAGGCAAATACGATTTCAAAATGTATGGGAACTGCCCACAATTAATAATAGAATCATAATAGCCCTCATTTATGAAACTTGCGCAGAAAAGGGTGTATATTTTTGGTGTGTATTCCATATACTCAACGCCGGATTTATGAATGTGTGATATAGATAGATAGATAGTGAGATAGATGCAGTAGATACTTTATTGAGCCCCCGAAGGAGAAATTCAGGTGTCCAGTAGCAGCAAAAATAAAAATAAAATTGATCATTCTAAAAACATACTAATCAGCAACAGCCCTTTAGGTCACAGTAGCAGAGGTGGAGTAGTTTCTGGGTGGAGCAGGACGGGTCACAGCAGCACAGATAGAGTAGCCTCTGGTTGGAGCAGGACGGGTCGCAGCAGCACAGATGGAGTAGCCTCTGGGTGGAGCAGGACAGGTCGCAGCAGCACAGATGGAGTAGCCTCTGGGTGGAGCAGGACGGGTCACAGCAGCACAGATAGAGTAGCCTCTGGTTGGAGCAGGACGGGTCGCAGCAGCACAGATGGAGTAGCCTCTGGGTGGAGCAGGACAGATCGCAGCAGCACAGATGGAGTAGCCTCTGGGTGGAGCAGGATAGGTCGCAGCAGCACAGATGGAGTAGCCTCTGGGTGGAGCAGGACAGGTCAAAAGGTGGAGTACCCGCTTTGGTTTGGACCATTTTCTCTGCTCTGGTCCAAAGTAAAATGCTAAATGCTTCATTAGCATTTTTCAAAAAGTTATTATTCCTCCAGTGGACTTTTACCTGATCCGCTTGGTTCAGACTATGAATCCTCTTCGCTCCGGTCTGGACCAGTGCAAAACTATGCACACTGTACTGCAGCAACATCTCAAGCAGAAAAAAGCAAGAAAAAGGAAAATTGATTAAGCACAAAACAACAACTGTTTTAGAGCTACTTAGGACTTGCAGCCGTTTCCAGACGCATCTTTAAAAAAAAAAAAAAAAGATCTGCACAGATCTGAGCGTACCCAGCCGCGGCTGTTGATAAATGCCGCGCTCAAAACTAGCGTATTCATGAAAGTTACGCCTAGAAATATTCAGTTCCAGAAGCCTCAAAAGGCTTGTTAGTGACACGAGTTTACATTAAGTTTTATTGTATTATTTTGTCAAAAAAAAAACCAGCTATATTATTACACCTCCAAGGTTCCAAAAGAACTCAACACCTCCACGGCTCCGAAAGAGCTCAACGCCTCCACCACCAGCATCATCAGCAGCTGCCACATCTTCATCAGCGCCATCAGCATATACAGCACCACCAGCAGCAGTGGATACAGCAGCAGCAGTGGCTGCTCCATCATCTTCAGCAGCAGCAGTGGCTGCTCCATCATCTTCAGCAGCACCTTCCCCACCTACAGCTCCCGTGAAGCTTCCCCCATTGCTCCAGGCTACAGACAGGCCTGTACTGGGGGTTCCTCAACCACCTCTGTCTCCACCAAAGACTCCCTCATCACCTTCCATGGACCCGGCTTGGGTCCTCCCCGCTACATCCACTCCATCTAGGGAAAATGAGGACGACCTTTCCCTTTGTTTTCTATCCCCGCCTTCACTACTGGAATTAACGGAACACTCGGCAGGCATGATAAGATCGGCGATGAAGACTATTCCTCTCACACCCACTGTAGCCAGATCAAGAGTCCTATCTAACATTCAAAACTACTCCCCATACGTACCTCCAAAGCCACCTAGGGCGTCCAACTCAAATTCTCCCACAAAATCCACCCGTCCCTCCTCTAACCCCATAAGTATTCCACCCCCCCCCTCCTGCTCATTTAGCCCCCCTCCCCCCCCCTAACTCAGCACCAAGAAACCCTCCACCTCCACTCCCCCCTCGTCCACCACCCAACTCAACCTGCCCCTCCCCTAACCCATCACCAAAAACCCATCCACCTTCAACCCCCCCCCGTCCAACTCCCAAGAACCACCCGCCTCTCCATCCTCTTCCCCCGCCTTCCCCTTCCCCTCTTTTCTCTAAACACTAGGATGCACAGGGTCTCTGCTTCACAGCCACTGGCAGTCTAGTTAGAGGAGAGATCCGGCTGGGGCCCTGTCATGAAGCCACCTGAGCCATTCCTTTAGTGATAACACAAAGAATACATAACAGAAAAACATCGGAAGTTAATCAGTCTAATCAGGAAAATCTAATTCTCGTTCCGTGTAAGAATCAGCCGACCACAACCGCTGATCCTGAAACTTTGAAACTTGCTATGCTAAATGTCAGATCTCTTTGTAACAAGTCTTTTTTAATCAATAATTTTATTTGTTCTTATAATCTAGATCTTATGTTCATGGCTGAAACATGGCTTGACCAAAATACAGAAAATGCAGTTTTAATAGAAGCATCACCACCAAATTTCAAATTTGAATCTGAAATACGGGAAAACAAAAAAGGAGGAGGCTTAGCTGCCATTTTCAGAGACCACTTTGTCTCCCATAGAATGTCTCTTGGGAAGTTTCCGTCTTTTGAATATGTGTCTTTTAAAATACAACAAAAACAATCTCCTCCAATACTTTTCGTTGTCCTATACAAGCCACCGCAGTCATGTCACAGTTTTATTGATAATTTTACAGAGTTGCTTTCAGTTGTATGCACAGATTTTGATAGTTTAGTTATTACAGGTGATTTTAAAATTCATGTGGATAATGTTGATGACAGAAATGCAAAAGAGCTGAGTTCTGTTCTTGATAGGGCTGGGCGATATGACTAAAAAATAAAATCTCGATTTTTTTAGTCATCTTGGACGATTACGATTTTAATCGATTTTAATCGAAGTATTACAAACTACATGCATGTATTTCAAAATAGGTTTGATTTATTCAAAAATATCTTGTGCAAAGTAACAAATCTTTAGCCAACAATAAATGAACACTGAGTGTATCAGTAAACAAATGTAAACTTAAATATTTATAACATAAATCTTGTGCAAGTAACACAAATATTCAGCCAACAATAATTGTACTGATTTTTATATCAGTAAAAAATGTAGACTTATTACAAGTGCAAGAAAAAGAGCTTCATTTGCTGAAATATCACAATTAATCAAACGTTTGATTAGTCAAAAGACAGAATGATGTGTCTTGTAAACGACCTATGACATACTATTGCTTGTGCAAAAAATACAACTTAATCCGCACCACTTTGACAAACTCGGATACGCTTTAACTCTAGGACATCACGTTCTTATAATCGTTTTGTTTTGTTGTTTTACACTGTTAGATTTCTTGCAAGAAAAACAAGCCTATCAACCGACTCTGGCTTAAGACAAGCTCTTGTGCATGTTACGATGTTTCCCCCGGTACTAAATACCCTTTCAGACGGGGCACTTGTCGCTGGTATTGACAGGTACTTCTTCGCAAGCTTACTAAGTCTTGGGAAGTGGGATTCATGCTGCTTCCACCATTGAAGTGGATCTGAATCGGCATCAATTTCGGGTGCCACTAAATATGCTAACACTTCGCCCTTGAGTTTAGCCTCATATGGCTGAGTGTCAGCTTCCACAGCAGCAGTCTTTTTAAAGAAGCTGCTAAGCGATTTTTATTTTTCTTTGCTACTGGCTCAACAACATTACTCTGGCTCTCAGATTTGTCTTCACCTGCAGGAGTACCTTGAACTTGAAGGCCTCTGTAATGCATAGAGCAGAGTTCTGTAATGATTCTCTCTTTTAGTTTATCAATCTGGTTTGGCTTAAGGTAAGTTGTGCGGAACCTGGGATCTAGCAGTGAGGTAAAGTCGATCAGGTCTTGTGTGGCTGGATCTATATTTAGTGTTCAGATAATCCAGCACATTTGCTTTGATCTGTTTTGTAAGCTCTGTATCACTTTCTTCTGGTTTTAGCAAACTGTTGTTAAACAGATGAAGAGTTGGCTTTATGAAAGAGATGCTCACGTATGTTTCACCTGAGAGAGCATCAGTGAAGTCATGTAATGGCTTAATGGCTTTATTTACAGACTCTAAAATGTCAATGTCCTGCCAAGTAGGCACTAGGTGTCTTGTTTTCTTATCTGCACCCAAGATTTGCCCAATTGCCTTCTCCTGCTCTAGAATGCGCTCGATCATTTTCTGGCGTGACCCCCATCTTGTTGGCGATTCTGATATTAGCTGATGTTCTGGGAGGCCTAGTTCTGCTTGAACCAGTGCCATGTCCCTCCGCTTCTTCCAACTAAAAGAGAAGGCACTGATGACTTTCTTGCAGACTCCTACAGTGCGTTCAATGCGATGATCCTTACAAGCATTCCCTGTAAATAAACATAATAAAGACACAATGTCAGCCACTCATTGCTCATTTCGTATAGTGTATGTAAATAAACATGTACATAATTAATGTAAAGAATACACATGTGCAGTGTTGGGTAGTAACTAAATACATGTACTTAGAATACTAATTTTGAGTAACTGTATTGAGGTATTCTGGGCTTTGGGCATTTGCAAAGTGCTTTTTTGCATTCCTAATTAGTGGTAAATAAGTTCATAACAGGCGAGTATTCAGTCACTGAATTTCAATGTAGCCTTTTATTAGTATTATGCAAATCAATGTGAAAGTATTCAAAGTATTCAAAACAGAGTACTCTGTTTCAGTATTCTGTAAATAAAATGTCAAAGTATTCTCCCCAACACTGCACAAATGTGCTGTTACAGTGATTACAGGCTCAGAGTAAAGTGATAGCACCATTTAAAAACATTATTTCACTTACCTATTGCGTTGTGTAGCCTGTGCCCAAAGCAGTTGAGGTGGGTCCACTGGTTTAACTTCAGGGCCTTTATCATATTTGTTCCACTATCTGTAGTCATGCACACCATGTTCTCCTCATCCAACTTCCACCGTGTCAACGAATCTTTGAGCCTCTGTGCAATGATCTCCCCCGTATGATCTTCTGGGAAGTAGGTGGTTTGTAGACTGCAGCTGTTGAGAGCCCAGTTCTCATCGATATAGTGCACAGTTAAACTCATGTACGGCTGAAGAGATCGACTGGACCAAAGGTCTGTAGTAGTTGCAAAAAACAAAGCGGAGTCCAACTTTTCATAGAGCGCTTGTCGTGTTTCGTTGTACAGTTTTGGTAGCGCAACCTCCGCAAAGTATTTGCGACTCGGCGGGTCATATTTTGGATCACACACTTTTAACATGTGCAGAAAGCCAGGCTTCTCTACGGTGTAAATGGGCATCATGTCCATCCCAATATGAACAGCTACAGCGTCGGTCACCTGCTTCCACCGCGCACTACACTTGTCGTACGGCACGGCTTTAGAAAATGAGGCGGCTAAAGTTTGTTGTCTTTTCCCGGCGTGGTCGTGTTTGTCTTTGCTCGTGCTACCCACGCTGCACTCCCGAAGCTGCGAGCACTGCTCCCATTCTGTGGGGTGCTTTTGCCGGAGATGCTGAAACAAGTTAGTTGTGCTGCTACTCTTGGTTTTGATAGCATTTCGGCAAACCTTGCACACGACTGTAGTCTGCTCCACGTCGGCCTTGTCAAAGCCGAACCACTTCCATATAATCGACGTAACATGAGTCCCTTTTCTGGTTACCAACTCTTCAGTTTGAGCAGCGGCCATGGCGTTTGTAAACAGTGCAGCGTGCTAGCGCACGGAAGGAGGAAAGAGGCAGCGGAAGTCGACGCAAACGCCTAAGTCAAAAAATGCAGAAGAAGAAACTTCTTCTTCTTTTAATACATCCATGGTTATTGGCGGGCAGAAGAAGAAACTACCTCGATTTTACGATTTAACACATTTTCAAATCGTGGGCTTTTAACCCTTGTATTATGTTGGAAAAAAATGACATTGATTATGTTGCGGGTCATTTTGACCCGTACTGTGTAAATGCACTCAAAACAGTCAAGAAAACAGGTTAAACCAATATCAACTTTATTTTAGGTTATATAAATATTTAGAAAAGTGACATACAATACATTTTTAATTCCAACGCTATATTTAAGAATTATTTAGTCTAATCTTCTTGTCCTCCTCTCGGGTCAAAATGACAATTCTTCCCTCCTTCTTTCCTCCTGCCATGCTTTCTCCTTCCTTTTTCTCATCCTGTTTTCCTTCTCTCTGTTCATCCTTCTATATTCCCTTCTTTTCTCTTCCTTCCTTCCTGTCTCCCGTCTTTCCTTCCTACCTTACTTCATTCCTCCCTTCCTCTTTCCTTCACCAAAGATTCGTCCTCTGAATCCTCCTTATCGTAGGAAAATTGACAATCTGGATCAGCAATAACATTGTCCTCTGTCTCTGAAAAATCCTCTGTTTCTGAAATCTCTTCCTCTACATCATTGTCCCAGTTAAAAATCTGTGATAAAGCCTCCTCAGATGTCATCCTTCTGGAGCTCATTTTTGGGGAGTTTGTATAAAGCCTAGCTTACATGGACAGAGTAACTGGAGACAACTAGTTGCAAGGCGGCTTTTGGCAACTGAGAGTAGATGATGGAGATGAAATCGGTTGATGTGAGCGCTCTTACAACTGGAGATAAACAGTCGATCTCCGGATTCAGTCAGTTGCCCGTGTTCTACTTTTCGGCAACTAGTTTTACTCAGATCCGGAGATACATGTATCACCCGATGTGCGCGCTCCAACAACATTTGAGTATTGCGTGTATTGCGCCCTCTACAGTTTATGTCAGAAAACACACTGTAGTTGAGGCCAGTTGCTGTCGATGTAGGCGCTGTTATTCCCAAGACTGGTCTGCTACTAGGAGTTTCCCGTTTACGCCAGATTGTCGATGTGTGCGGGGCAGCAACTCAAAGGCGACGGATATAATCAGTTGCCAGTCCGATGTACGCTAGGCAAAAGAGATGACATGAGAACAGTGACAAGGAAAAGTGTGAAAAAGTTCCCTCTCCTCACACACCTGGCTCTGGGTCTCAGAGGCAATCAAAATACAATGTCAAAGAGACATGATTTTTTTGGATCTGAACAACTATTTACCCACATTAAAGCGTCTGGGTCAAAATGACCCGCAACATCATCTTTGTATACAAACTCTGCACAGACATTCCACTACACATAAAAGTGTCCAGATTTTACACACCAGTTCATGACCCTAGATGAGGAAAAGTCACCAAATTTCAGCAAGAAAAAGAAAGGATAACCAGTACTTTGATCAACTCAAAAACTGAAATGGGTCAAATTGACCCTTAACATAATACAAGGGTTAAAAACATGAATTAATCGAATTAATTCGATTTATCGCCCAGCCCTAGTTCTTGAATCTTTTGGTCTCACTCAGCATGTGAGTGGCCCCACCCACAGCAGAGGGCACACTCTAGACCTGTTAGTTACAAAGGGGGTGAACATTTCTAATGTAAACGTGGTCGATGTTGCGCTTTCGGATCATTTTTGTATATTTTTTGACATGTGTTTCACTAACAAACCACCAGTGTGACGAAGAAGACACATAAATGAAAATCTACTATAAATGAACTATTTATGGGAATGATAAACTTTGAGAATGCATCGTATTCTACTGTAGATGAACTGGTTAACTCTGTCACCTCTAGTGTTTTGAATGTTCTGGACACCATCGCTCCTGTGAAGGTTAAAATAATGAAAAATAAGCAGAAGGCGCCGTGGGCTAAAGCAGACTCGGTCAGGGCACAAAAGAGAGAGTGCCGGAGGGCCGAGCGGAAGTGGCAAGTCCAACCTCCAGGTTGATTACAAGATCTTCAAAGATAAGTTGTGCGAGTTTAACCAGGTGCTACGTAGTACGAGAGAAAGGTATTTTTCTGAAATGATTGAAGGCTGCAGCAACAATCTGCGTGTTCTGTTTTCAACAGTTAATAGATTAACAACCCCCCCTGTTCAGATGCCATTAGAGCTAACTTCCAAACGTAAATGTAATGAGTTTGCACATTTTTTCAATGACAAGGTTAATGGCATCAAAAACGCCATTGTCTCCAATCCACAGATAACAATCCAACAACCAGAAAGGCTCTTTGAGCTAACTTACTTTGCACCTGTAAATGATCAAACTGTCCAAGAGATAATCTCCAGTTTGAGCTCCTCCACATGCAGCCTGGATGTACTACCCACTAGATTTCTAAAGTCTGTTCTGAGCAGTCTGTTACCTTCACTCACACAGATAGTAAACATTAGGGCTGTATACCTTGGAGAACCTGGCGATACGATACATACCTCGATACACAGGTCACGATTCGATATGTACCTCGATACAGAGCTGTCTCGATACGATTCGATACAATGTGGCACGATTCGATACGATTCAATAAAAATACATGGGCCAGAGCCAATTAGTTAATGCTGAACACATTTACTCAACAGAACTCTGCATTTTTCTTCAATTTATTGAAGACAAAAATAAATCTTTTCTACCCTTTAATCCATTTCTGGGTTAGGGGGGTGGCTCAGAGATGCCACACAAATCTCATTAGAAATTACCAGCCCCTCAACTGACCCTTTGCAGGGTGGTGAGCTCACACAGGAAAATCGGTGCTCTCTTTTTTGTGACAGCATGTACTTGATCTTTCATGTGGGGGCTTTTTTGGGGCATAGTGATGGTTAAGTGTCTTGCCCAAGGACACAACGACAGCAGTCATCAGTGTGGAGTCAGGATGGCCCCTCACTGAAGGTGCAGAGGTGGGAATTGAACCCACGACCAACGACTGGCCTTAAGGCAGGGGGAATACTCTAGGCCCTACAACTGAGCTACTGTCGCCCCAGTTTTATCCTATGACTTGAGATTTTTGTTCAAAAACAGAAGTTGGTCAACATGGTTTGAGCTTAGTACACTTCTCTGTGCTGTTACGATATCGCCTGCCGTAGAGAAAACACGCTCCGAGGAGACACTAGTCCCTGGAATGCACAGGTACACTTTGGCAAGGTGTGACATTAGTCGATATTCATTCTGGTGCTCTTTCCACCAACTAAGTGGACTTCCCTCAGCAAGAGACAGGGGTGGTGCCTCCTTGTACCTTGACATCTCCTCTTCTGCCTGGGCTTGTGTGGTTCTGTTTCTCACCGCAGGACCTGCACTGTAAGTTGAACCAAGCAGATCAGCCAAACAGCACAAGTCCTTTTTCTTCTTGGTTGGTGGCGGGCTGGCAGGAATGTCATCCTTGTCTTCCACATGATTGTCCTCTTTTCCTGGTATCCCTTCAGCCTCTTCCTATAATGCAAAATAAAGATTTGTTATCAATAAACCCATAGTTAATTCAATAAGGAGCATATTCAAAGACGTATAATAGTTAGTTTGCCTTTTATTTAATGCGATGAACTGACAAACCTTTACAATACATACATACATACATACAATGTATGTATGTATGTATGTATGTATGTATGTATATATATATATATATATATATATATATATATATATATATATATATGTGTGTTTTTTTTATGTGTTTTAACCATGTAATGTTAATGACACAGTGAAAGGGCTTACCTGAAATAGTTCTTGAATTCTTCGAGCTTCTGCAGTAATTCTCAAATATATTTCCTCTCGTTCATCATCAGGAAGGAAGGGCAAAGCTTTGAATCTTGGATCGAGTGCTGAACATACATACATGGTCGCTTTCTGCTGATCCATGTACCTCTTGCTCAAATCTTGGCAAATAGCCGCTTTGATTTCTTTCACCATCTCACTATCTGCTCTGTTCTCTTGGAAATCCTGGATGAGCTGAGCATGAAGAGGGGCCACAACAGACAGTGTTGGAGAGCTTTCTTTTGACATTACAAGAGTAGCAATCTTCATGGGCTTCATTGCATCCACTATCTCCTCCGCAGATGTAATGTCCGACTCGCATAGGGTGCAAACTTCTTTCTCGGTTTTCCTAAGCTCGTTGGACAGAAGAGCAGCGGAGACAGCGGGTTGCTGCTCAAGAAAGCGCTCGAGCATGTCATGTGCGCTATTCCAGCGCGTCACAACATCAGTGATCAGTTTATGTTCAGGCAACTCGAGCAACTTCTGCTTCTGTCGAAGTACGTGGCTGGCTGTGGTACTGCGCTTAAAAAAGGTGGAGATGCGTCTAACACGTCCCAATAAACGAGCGACAGGAGGAAGCTTCAGTGCACGCTGCGAGGCCAGGTTTAAAGTGTGAGCGAAACACCTAAAATGCAACATACCGGCAAGCTCCGCTGCGACGCTCATATTTGCGGCGTTGTCAGTGACAATAGCCGGGTCTTTGGATACGAGGTCCCACTCCTCCAGCGGCGCTTTAAGTAACTCCGCAATGTTTGACCCCGTATGGCTCTGGTGCATGGCTCGCGTTTGTAAAACGTGCGACATCAGTTCCCACTCCTCGTTAATGTAATGGCAAGTGATTGTAACAAAGGTTTCCGTGGCTCGCGATGTCCACCCGTCACAAGTCAGTGCCACTCGTGGGGCAGAACTCAAGGTTGACTTAACATTGTCTTTGACTTTGTCATACATTCTCGGTACTGCTTTGTCGGTCATGTAGCTGCGGGTAGGGATCACATAACGGGGATCTAACGTGTTGATCATAAAGCGAAAGCCTGTGTTTTCGACAACACTGTAGGGACATAAACCTTTGCAAATATAATGCACCACAGACTCCGTAATCTTCTGTGCACGGACTGA